GTCCACTCCTCCCGCCCGGCACCGTGTAGAGCTTTCGTCCTGGAAATGCAACAACCTCGGGGCAAAAGCAGAGGGACGGTCCGGCAGTCCACCCCAAAAAAAGCCAAGGAAGAAGAAAAAAAAAGAAAGAAAAAAGGAAAACTAGACTCGGCTCAGTCGCCACCAAAATTTCTTAATTACAGAGAACTAGGAAAGTCCTGTCTGGCAGCCGAGTGCATATAAATCCCCGCCTAGCTTGCAACCATTTTGGCAGGGAAATAAGTGACACAAGAAAAAAAAAAAAAAAAACAAATCAAATCAATGAATATGATATCGGCAAAACCTTCGTGCTTTTTAGCAGCCTGTGTGTCTGATCTTGAAAAAGTTACTTTGAGCTGCAGCGGTTTCAAACGCGTTGATCAAACAAAAAAAGGCTGTTATCCCTGATCGGGCAGCCCGAGCAGTTACAAGCTGAGGGAGGACACCAGAGCTGCATTTGCTCTAAAATTCACTTGATAAACTGGATAAACAAGCGCTGGGGGATACGAGGAAAAATTATATATAAGGTCCTGCTGGGTGCTTTATCTAGAGACCCTCTTTCTCTAAAGGTAATTAAGCAATAATGATGCTTGCTTTGGAGACTGGTGTTCTGATCGATATCTCCTGTACCTTTTATTACTTTTTCTCTGTCTCATGTTTTCCGTTTCCTTCATCACTGGAGATGTTATCGGAGTCACTGTAGTGGCTTTCCACAGAGACTGTCACAATTCCAGTCCAGGCTGCAGTATATTGGAAAGCTCCTACACAAATAAGGAGAGTGCAAAGAAACACAGCTCTCTTTGCAAGCAAATGTACCTTTCCGGCCTTGCCAATGCCATTTTCTTCTTAGCATCAAGTAAAATACTGCAACAAAACAAAATTGGCGAACCACAACAGAAAGTCAGTGGATTTGCAAGCTACTCGTTGCAGACATTGCATCCTGAGAGGCAGGGATACACTGGCTAGCTGCTCCAGGGTATAGGCTAGCTGCCTATACGGTATGCACATAGCCTTTTTTAAATCTAAAAATCCTCACTGGAGATACATTATTTCCTCACTATAACAAACACACATACACCGAAAGAAAAATCAAAAGAAAAAAAGAAAGATAGACAAATAACAGTCATTTTAGTACAAGCGTGTATATATAGAGGCGTACATAAATGAGTTCTACGTCTGGACTATTTTTTCATTTTCATACCCTGTTTTACACCCAGACACACACACACACACACACACACACACACACACACACACAGTGTATATAGCATATTTACACTATATAGCATATATCCTACACATAAGTACGTACGTGCGTACGTATGTATGCCTGCATTGCTCCTCTCTGCGCACACAAATCTCCCTCTCCACCCCTCGGTGGGTTCGACTCTGCCGTCCGCGCCCGGCCGAGGTGCGGGGTCGGCGCCCAGCTTTGGCTTCGGTATTTCCACGCCGAAGCGAAAATTTGTTCCCGGCAGGCTGCTCCTTTGCTGCGCCCGCATCTGCAGCGATAGCGGCTCCCGCAGGGGACTGCGCGGCCAATTCGGCTCGTCTCTGTCCCCAGGCGTGGATTTGCTCCCTCACAGAGGAGCCTTTTGGCTGTCTTTTTGCCCAGTCCTTCCCCCAGAGGCATCCCCACCGGCTCTGCAGTGGATCCGGAGAGCGCACTGAGCTCTTGCAAGGACGGGACTTGCGGTTCTTGCTGCCTCCTTTGCAGACTCCTCCATCTCTATCTTTCTCTTTCTTTAATTTATGACCTCTCAGCTCCTGTTGACACAGTTTTCCACACTGCCTATATTGTAGGATTGCATTGTAATATACGCCGAATCAGCCTAGCCGTCAGCCAACACACATAGGATGGGTATTTGATATTTCACAGCTATTTAGTGATACTCGGCTCCATTTGAAGATGACAACAATTCGCCTCGCCTCCAAGTTATCCGTGAATTACAGCTTGAGATTCATTTTTTCCTGTTGTAATGTCTTCAAGATTACCAGACCAAAACACCTAAATATCTACGGGAGATTTCCTCCTGGCCTAACTGTTAAACAAACATTTAACTATTCCCTTTCGATAACTAAACTTGCTTTCCACAGATGCTGGTCTTTTTTTTTATTGCAGAATTAGGAATGCAGAGAAATATTTATATATTTGTCAATAAAAGCTAGAAAATAAGCTCTGAACATGCCGTAAAAAATATTCGGTTACTTACCAATCAGTCTAGTTAAACAAGCATGAAACTGATTTCAGGAACTTTACTGGTTCGGATGAGTACTTGTCGAGATGCGTACATGCAGTCAGCAAGCTGGAAGAGAATCATTTAGAGTTGGTTTTATTGTTATTATTTCAAAGCAATTCATTTTGAAAGAAAATAACGCCCCTGGCCAAACCCTGCGATCTCTGCTCATTTGGTAAGTCAGCGGCGGTAAAGCCAGAGCCAGCCTTTTTAAACTTGAAATGTAGGCTCAGTGACAATGCAGAATAACTTCGTCTCCCTCCTCACGGAAACTTGGTACTAGTGATCTCTTTGTGTACATTAACCAGCAATAAAAGCATAAGCCAGAGTGGTTCTGGGGCATGCCTATCACAACCGGTCAATCGATAAAGTGCCCTCTGAAGTTGTTTTTATTTGTTCCTCGACCGGATCGGCACAAAGCGCTTTGTAAAAGCGCTCGCGGAGCTTATCAAGCTGTTACATAGACTTTTGCCATCACAATCCTTGCAGCCATACCGTACCTGGCTTGAGATTTTCCGATATTTAAGTTTTAATGAGTTTGTTGGCCTTTTTTTTTAATGAAGATTTTACAGTAAGGCATCTGCTAAACACTTGCATTAACCTCTGCCTCCATGATAATTTTTCCCCCCTTGTTTTAATTACATTATGGATACGGAGGGGGCAGCCAATCCTAAAAGAGGAGCTGGGCAATTAGCAGGGCGAACATCAAAAAGTTTTATTGCGGAGGGCCGCCGGCTCCGCCCCGGCCGCCGGCTATTGGCC